ACACACACAGTCACACACACACAGTCACACACACACACTCACACACACACAGTCACACACAGTGCTGGCAAGACAGCTAAGGTATGAATGATGGTGAATACATTTGCTTCTTTTGGGTCACCCTGCCATGGTGAGAAATGCCTGACATATTAAAATGTTAAACTACTGATGTGAGACGAGTTGGGCGGAGTCCATAAGTGTCCATTAAATTGGAAGGCAATTCAGTAATGTTTTAAAAATCACAGAAAAACACTGAAGTTCCCCCACAATGTTTAGCTTCACAGCATTTTGCTTTACAGTGTTCCACTTTACAGTGTTCCACTTTACAGTGTTCCACTTTACAGTGTTCCACTTTACAGTGTTCCACTTTACAGTGTTCCACTTTACAGTGTTCCACTTTACAGTGTTCCACTTTACAGTGTTCCACTTTACAGTGTTCCACTTTACAGCACCTTGCTAGTGCAGCAGTTTTCAGTTATATCTGTTCTTCATTTATTTAGACTTGATACAATAGATGTATTCACCACTCACTATAAACTTGATACAATAGATGTATTCACCACTCACTATAAACTTGATACAATAGATGTATTCACCACTCACTATAAACTTGATACAATAGATGTATTCACCACTCACTATAAACTTGATACAATAGATGTATTCACCACTCACTATAAACTTGATACAATAGATGTATTCACCACTCACTATAAACTTGATACAATAGATGTATTCACCACTCACTATAAACTTGATACAATAGATGTATTCACCACTCACTATAAACTTGATACAATAGATGTATTCACCACTCACTATAAACTTGATACAATAGCTGTATTCACCACTCACTATAAACTTGATACAATAGATGTATTCACCACTCACAATAAACTTGATACAATAGATGTATTCACCACTCACTATAAACTTGATACAATAGATGTATTCACCACTCACTATAAGCTAGGGACAAAAATATCTTAAGTAATGTTCGTACTGTACGTAGTATATACCTAATATTATACCGTACACAATTTACACTTTTCTTATAAAACTTCTATATGTAGTATTATTCTTTTTTTCAACTTTAATTGAAACATTCAGAAGTAATTTTATGTGCCGTGAAGACCTTTTTATGTACTGTTAAGTTTTAAATGACCTTTATTAATTGTATTTGAAAAAAAATGGACTGTATAGAGTAGCTTTATACGAGAAGTCGACTTTATTACAATAAACACTAAAATTAAATGCATTAAGTATATTTTTTGTTATTTCATAAGTCGATTATATTGAGGGTTCGACTCTCTCATACACAACCCCACTTGGGCCATTCACCTTTTAATTTTTACAAAAGATCAATTTTTAAACATTCTTAAAGCACAAACAAAGGAGTTCTGGTGAAAAATATTGTTATATCAGTGATAAAGATTTGGCCTCTCAGAGTGATTAATACTTATCACCTTGCACAACTGCCACGGTCATTTTTAAACCAACCTTTGTGATAAACAAATACGTTTTATTGACAACCCGTACGTAAGAGAGAGAGAGAAAGTTACGATGATGTTTGGGTCCACCTCAGACCATTAACTAGTCACACCAACACGAGAGAGTGAGGGAGACGGTGTGTGCTCTGGACCAGGCTTGTCTGGTGCTCTGGGCCTGGCTTGTCTGGTCTCTGGGCCAGGCTTGTCTGGTGCTCTGGGCCAGGCTTGTCTGGTGCTCTGGGCCAGGCTTGTCTGGTGATCTGGGCCTGGCTTGTCTGGTGTTCTGGACCAGGCTTGTCTGGTGCTCTGGACCAGGCCTGTCTGGTGCTCTGAACCAGGCTTGTCTGGTGCTGTGGACCTGGCTTGTCTGGTGCTCTGGATCAGGCTTATTTGTTGCTCTGGGCCAGGCTTGTCTGGTGCTGTGGACCAGGCTTGTCTGGTGCTCTGAACTAGGCTTGTCTGGTGCTGTGGACCAGGCTTGTCTGGTGCTCTGGACCAGGCTTGTCTGGTGCTGTGGACCAGGCTTGTCTGGTGCTCTGGGCCAGGCTTGTCTGGTGCTCTGGACCTGGCTTGTCTGGTGCTCTGGACAGGCTTGTGTTGCTCTGGACTGTCTTCCACCGGCCGGGGCTCTGGACACTTCTGGTCTCCTCAGGACAGGTACTGTCACTAAACCCCCTCCTGTACTGTACCTGCTTTTACCCATCTTCTGGATCAGGTATCTGTTACTCGGCCAGCTGCTGGTCTGTGAACATCTTCATGGTTCAGAGACAGGTCTGTCTGAACCTGACTGTCTGGGACATTGTCAGCTCATTTGTTGCTTGGGCCAGGGTCTGTGCTGATACCCAGCTTCCAGGTCTGTGACAGTTGTCATGGTCCTGATACAGGCTGTACTTGCCCACTCCAGTACTGTACTTGCTCACCATCTTTTTGTAATGCTTGAAAAGTCAATAATCTGGGTGCAAGTGGAAGGCTTTTCGGTACATGACCCAGTTTCTTTGGGTTCATGTTTTGGTTCCCTTGACCAAGCTTGTATCGGGCTTTTACCAGAGCTTGTCCTGTTATAGAAGGCTTTTTCGGGCCCCGACTGTTATGGTATAAGAAGGCTTGATACTAGAAGCTTTTACTATGGACACCATTGTTTGTGGGTTTTTTGTTTACTTGGAACATCCTAGTAGCGATGGATGTTATTATAAAATTGGTTAACACGAATTTATTGCTAAATTTGGGGGTTTTAAGGAAAGTTGATGCAGGAAAGGGCCCCTAATCAATTGATTGTCTTCTCTGTTAGTATAGGGAGTGTAAAAAATCCTTTCCTCCGGTAAGCCGTGATGTTATGTACGTAGGCGGGACTAAAATGCAGGACAAGGTTGCTAGTAACCCCCTTCTCCTGTATAAATTAATAAATTTAAAAAGAGAATCTTTTTAAATTTTTTTGTGTGTAATATCGTTATTGAACTCCAGCTGTCTCCCAATGAGGTAGGGTTACCCCAAAATAAAGAAGAGAGAGTCACCATCATTCTCTCAATCCCTGTCTTGCCAGATATGTGCTGACATCACAATTCAAATAATCACGAACTGCAACGTCCTCACTCATCCTTCAGAGTACAGGTACTGTACTTCCCACCTCCAGTACTGTAACATTCTCACTCATCCTTCAGAGTACATGTACTGTACTTCTCACCAATCCAGTTTCTGTAACATTCTCACTCATCTCTTCAGTAGTACAGGTACTTTACTTCCCACCCCCAGTACTGTAAACATTCTCACTCATCCTTTAGATACAGGTACTGTACTTCCCACCTCCAGTACTGTAACATTCTCACTCATCCTTCAGAGTACAGGTACTGTACTACCCACCTCCAGTACTGTAACATTCTCACTCATCCTTCAGAGTACAGGTACTGTACTACCCACCTCCAGTACTGTAACATTCTCACTCATCCTTCAGAGTACAGGTACTGTACTACCCACCTCCAGTACTGTAACATTCTCACTCATCCTTCAGAGAACAGGTACTGTACTTCCCACCTCCAGTACTGTAACATTCTCACCCATCATTGAATGTGCATTTTTGTAAATGCAATTGAAAAGTCAATCCAAAACTGAATAGCAAGTGGAAAGGCCTTCAGGGTACATGCCTTTCAAATTTCTGTTCATTTTTTGCTTCCCATTTACAAAAAAATTTGTATAGAGGAGCTTTACAAGAGTTGACTGTATATAGAAGAGCTTTATTTTAGAGCTGACTGTATATATAAGAGGTTGATAATAGAGCTGACTATGTACACCATAATGTTTGTTTTATGGTTACAGGAAAATTCCTAGTAAGGATGGATGTTAATATTGGTAACACGAAATTTATTCTCTACTTAGTCATTTAAAGAAATTTTGATTGCTGGAGAGCGCGTAATAATATTGTCTTCTCTGACATCGACTGTAATAATTTATTCTCTCTGGGAGGGCGTAATATATTACTGTCTTCCGGACGGCAGTGTAATAATTATTTCTCTCTCTGGAGAGGCGTAATAATACTGTCTTCTCTGAGGGCGTGTAATAATTATTGCTTCTCTGGAGAGCGCGTCATATTAATTGTCTTCTACTGAGAGGCGGTCATAATTATTGTTTCATTCTGGAGAGGCGCGTATATATGTCTTTCTGGAGAGCCCATATATTATGTCTTCTCTAGAGGCTCTAATAATTTGATTTCTGGTGAGTGTATTCACTTATTGTCTTCTGTGAGAGGTCGTCACATATTGTATTCTTGGGAGCACGTTAATAAGTAATTGTATTCTCGGAGAGGGCATCAAATATTGTCTTCATGGAGAGGGCTAATCAGGGTATTGCTTTCTGGAGGCGCGTAATAATTATTTGTCTTCCTTGGAGAGCAGCTAATTAATTATTGCTTCTTGGAAGAGTGTGTAATATTATTGTCTTCTTCTGGAGCGGTTGTATAATTATTGTCTTCTCTGGAGAGCGAGTATATTATTGTCTCTCTGAGAGGCGTATATTTATGTTCTGGATTAGAGGCGCGTAAGATTGATTGTTTCTCTGGAGAGGTGTGTAAAATTTTGTCTTGCTCTAGTAGGCGTAAAAATTATTGTCTTCTCGGAGAGGCGCGTAATAATTATTGTCTTCTCTGGAGAGGCGTGTAATAATTGTATTCCCGGATTGTGTACGAGTAAATTGTCTTCTGGAGAATGCTATAACAATTGTAATTCCTGATGGTCTGTTGGAAATAATTATTGTCTTCCTAGAAGGCGTTGTAATCAATTTGTCTTCCCTGGAGAGGCTCTAACAATCATTGTTCTTCCCAGGAGATGTATAATCTTTGCCTTCTGGAGAGCTGTCAACAACGTCTTCTGGGAGGACATGTTATATCTGTCTTCCCTGGAGAGGCTGTAACAATCATTGTCTTCCCTGGAGAGGCTGTAACAATCATTGTCTTCCCTGGAGAGGCTGTAACAATCATTGTCTTACCTGGAGAGGCTGTAACAATCATTGTCTTCCCCGCAGATGTTTGCAAGAGTTAATGACCAGTAGCCGGGCCAGAAGCTGTGGGCGGGGCACACTGCGGAGACATGGCTGACAGAATGGCACGGCGCAGGGTCAAACTATATGCGCTGAACGCTGACCGCCAGTGGGACGACAGGGGTACAGGCCATGTCACATCCTCGTAAGTTGGACCCTGCTGTTAGCCCGCAATTCTAGTTGTAGCAAATTTTCAACCAATTACAGGTGCTCCTTGCTTTATGATGGTTCAACTTACGATATTTTGACTTATATTTTGACTCAGTGGTGTGATAGTGATGCAGATTTGTACCATATAGAACTGTACGTTTATTGACAGAATAAAGTTGTATTCATTTGTTTAGTTTTCAGTACTGGTATTTACAGTAATTATTTGTTAATTCACTTATTCAACGACAGTAGTTATTTACTCATTTATCATATTCGACTTAGGATATTTTCAACTTACGATGAGTTCAAGGGAATGTAACCCCATAGTAAGTCAAGGACCACCTATATTGTTCCTCATTCAAAAATTTTGTGTTTGTATGTGTGTGTGTATTCTGTAGCCAGTAAACCTTCCATTGTCTACTAAATGATCCATTTTAAATGTCTTTCTGTCTATGGCACCTTGCTTTTTTTTTTTTTTTTTTTTACATTCAGTGAGGTAACCTGGATACACACACATCTCTAGTCATCCGTTGAAGAAACTAGAGTTCCCATAGGAACATAAGAAGGAACACTGCAGCATGCCTACTGGCCCAAGTCAGGCAGGTCCAAGTCACCTACTGGCCCAAGCCAGTCAAGTCCAACTCTCACTCACCCATGTATTTATCTAACCTATTTTTAAAACTATACTAAAGGTTTTAGCTTCAGTGACCCTATTCAGGAATTTGTTCCACTCATCCACAACTCGTACCAAACCAGTGTTTTTCTATTTTTTTTTTATTATATTATCACACCGGCCGATTGCCACCAAGGCAGGGTGGCCCGAAAAAGAAAAACTTTCACCATCATTCACTCCATCACTGTCTTGCCAGAAGGGTGCTTTACACTACAGTTTTTAAACTGCAACATTAACACCCCTCCTTCAGAGTGCAGACACTGTACTTCCCATCTCCAGGACTCAAGTCCGGCCTGCCGGTTTCCCTGAACCCCTTCATAAATGTTACTTTGCTCACACTCCAACAGCACGTCAAGTATTAAAAACCATTTGTCTCCACTCACTCCTATCAAACACGCTCAAGCATGCCTGCTGGAAGTCCAAGCCCCTGTTTTTCTATATCCTCTCCAAATATAAATTTTTCCCTCTTGAAGCCATTGCTGTAGGTAGACAGACAGACACAACTGCTGACAAGAACAGTATTTCAGACACAAGGTGATGGTATAAATTTTTCCTGAACAGTTTAACCCGTAAACGGTCCAAACGTATATATACGTTTTTTCAACATTTGAAAGTATGTAAAAAAACGTAGATCTTTTTTTTTTTACATTGAAAATGTGTAAAAAAACTTTGATCTACTTTTTTTTTGTTACATTTGAAAATATGTAAAAAAAACGTAGATCTTTTTGTTTTTTTACATTTGAAAATGTGTAAAAAAACTTTGATCTACTTTTTTTTTGTTACATTTGAAAATATGTAAAAAAAACGTAGATCTTTGTTTTTTTAACATTTGAAAATGTGTAAAAAAAACTTTGATCTACTTTTTTTTTTACATTTGAAAATATGTAAAAAAAACGTAGATCTACTTTTGTAGCTCTACACATGTGAACGTAGATCTGCTTGGACCGTTTACGGGTTAATGGGTGACTTTCTTAACCCATTAACTGTCCAAACGTAGATCTACGTTTACGCAGGTAGCGCTCCGACCTTGATTTTCTCCATTTGAAGGCATGTAAAAAAAAAACGTAGGTCTACGTTCAGAGCACTAAACGAGCAAACGTAGATCTACGTTTGGACAGTTAACGAGTTAAATGGTTACAGTGTACTTTGTACTAAGGTTAGTACATATGTACTCTTTTTCAACAAAATTATTATATAAAAATAGTTTGGAAAACAACACTTGTGAAAAATATCTCAGAAATGAACATTGGCCTTGGAAACAATATTAACTTGTATACAGTATTATTTATGTGGTGTACGAACTGAATTTAAAAAAAAAAACGAGTAAGTTTTTTTTTATGTAATATTTGGTATAGGAACTGATTTTTTTTTTTAAACTCAAGTCAAAGGTATTTATTTCAGTATTTTTGTTTTTTTTGTTTTAGCCATTGTTTTAAATATAGAAGACTCGGCAGCAAAGGCAACACACATACAATGGTGCCTTGAGTTACGAACTTAATTCATTCCAGAAGGCTGTTCGAGTGCCGATACTGAACGAATTTGTTCCCATAAAGAATAATGTAAATTAGATTAGTCCATTTCAGACTCCCAAAAATACACTTACAAAAGCACTTACAAAAATACACTTACACAATTGTTCGAGTTAGGAGCTGTTCGAAACTCGACGTACCACTGTATAGGCTTTTCTGTGCCTAATTTCCTCACATCATGTTCTCAAAAAAGTGGATACAAAATTGTATATCACATATTGTGTAGAATATTACATACTGTGTTGAATATCACATACTGTGTTAAATATCATATCCTGTTCAGTTTTGGTCCACTTTTTAACCCTTTGAGGGTCGCCAGGCCCTCTCAGAGACTTGTTCTCAGGGTCGCCCAAATTAAAAAAAAAAAAAATTCTTATGAAAAGATAAGAGAATTTTTTCCCGATCATAACGACACCAAAAGTATGAAATTTGATGGAAAACTTACGGAATTATGCTCTCACGAAGTTAGCGGTCTCGACGATGTTTACGCATCGGCGATTTTGCCCACTTTGAGCCCTAGTTTTGGCCAATTTCAGTGTACTAGTCAACAAAAATCATAACTATTTCGCTAGAACTCCATTTTTTCTATCGAATGAGTGCAAGAAACCACGCATTTACCGATTTCAACTATCCAATACAGTGGTCAGAATTTAGCAATTTTGCCAATTTCACACAAATTTCAAAAGATGCCAATTTCCGAATAGGGTCCAGAATAAACAAGAAAGACATTCCGGGCACTAAAATAACAAGTTCTCTGTTCATTAGTCATGTCTCAAGGCCCCTCTTACATTCTTTGGATTTCCACTTTGAATTTTTATTCTCACAAAAAATAGAAGATTTACTGTTATGCAGACTACTGCATTAGTGTAGAAATGGTATAAATAATATCAGCGCACTTGTGAAAGAATATTAGACTCACCAGTTGACGTGTATTGGACGCTTGGCATGATTTGTTTACTTTTGAACTTTGGTAAAACTCAAACATTTCTGCTACTTTAAGCTCAATTTCAAGGTACTTTTCATTGTAAAACCAGTCAAAATCATCTCAATTTCTGTAATATGTCTTCCATTCTAGACAATGAGACCAAGGAAATTAGAATACAACAATAAATACCATATGAAAATACAGTGCAAAGTCGCTGTTTTAATCCAAAAACATGGTTAAATTTTTTTTCTCTCATTACGCACTGTGTTGCAGGATTTTTTTTATACTGCACACACTGACCACATAGGCCCATTCTTTCATATGTAGGCCTACCAGCTTTCTCCCACTAGATTTGAGGGCGCTAGAATTTAGGCGTACTAGTACGTCAAAAACCCTGGGGCGTAAGCCGTACTAGTATGGCCGAAACCCCCAAAGGGTTAATAGGATATACAAAAGTTATATAATATCAACGTGCTTTATAAGACAAGCAACTGTAATTGATTGCCACTGAACTTGTATTATTGAAGAGGATCCCAGACAGGGGTGGAAATATACAGCTCAATTAATTTTCGGAGTTTGTCCCTCCATGTGGGTTATTAATGAGCATTGACAAGTGTTCATGACTCTGTAGTTATTCATTGTACTATTGCAGAACAACCACTGAAAAATAGTGAAATTCCAAGCGCTTTTGTGCTTTCTCGCTTTGACAGTGTGAGAAATCACGAAAGTGCTTGGAATTTCACTATTTTTTCAAGGTTGTTCCGTATATTGTGATATCATCTGTTTACTGTGATCTTATTGCAGCATTGTGATAATGCTCATGTACCTTCCCATGAATAGGCAGATGCTCCTTGTAACCCTTCCCTCAAGGGAGGTTATTTGATGCTGGTGAGGGGCTCTTGATCTAGGGAATCAAATCTCTGCTCCAGTTCCCTGAATTGAGCCTGAACACCTTCCAACCCCGACACCCCACAGGCGCTGTATAATCTCAATGGGTTTAGTGCTCCCCATGATGATAATCCTGCCCCTACTGACATTCCTTCGCCTATCCACAGATATGTAGAACGGTTGAAAGGCATGTCCCTCCTAGTGCGGGCTGAATCGGACGGGTCATTACTGTTAGAGTCAAGAATCCAAGCAGATACTGCATATCAGAAGCAACAGGGCACGCTCATAGTGTGGTCAGAAGGAGAGAACTTTGATTTGGCCCTGAGTTTTCAAGAGAAGGCCGGCTGTGACGAAATATGGGAAAAAATATGTCAGGTATGTAATTGTAATGAGTACAGCGTCTGCACTCTGAGGGGTGAGTAGGGATGTTACAGTTCTGGAGGTGGGAAGTACAGTACATGCACCTGCACTGAAGGATGGGTGAGAATGTTACAGTTGAGGGCCACTAAGTGTAGTGTCAGCTCACTTCTGTCAAGAGTGATTGAACAAATGATGGTGTGTGTGTTTCCTCATATTTGGGGAGAGGGTGACCCTACCACGGTGGGACATGACCACTGCATTAAAATTAAATTAAATTAAATTAAAATTATATATTGTGTATCTTTATACGTATATGCTTCTAAACTGTTGTATTCTGAGCACCTCTGGAAAAACAGTGATAATGTGTGAGTGTGGTGAAAGTGTTGAATGATGATGAAAGTATTTTTGTTTTTGGGGATTTTCTTTCTTTTTTTTTGGGTCACCCTGCCTCGGTGGGTCACCCTGCCTTGGTGGGTCACCCTGCCTCGGTGGGTCACCCTGCCTTGGTGGGTCACCCTGCCTCGGTGGGTCACCCTGCCTTGGTGGGTCACCCTGCCTCAGTGGGTCACCCTGCCTCGGTGGGTCACCCTGCCTCGGTGGGTCACCCTGCCTTGGTGGGTCACCCTGCCTTGGTGGGTCACCCTGCCTTGGTGGGTCACCCTGCCTTGGTGGGTCACCCTGCCTTGGTGGGTCACCCTGCCTTGGTGGGTCACCCTGCCTTGGTGGGTCACCCTGCCTCGGTGGGAGACGGCTGACTTGTTGAAAAAAAAAAAATAATTATTTGTTGGATTTGTCCCTGACCTTTCAAGAAAAGTTGATACCTAATGTACAATTGTTGAGAGATCTTCAGTTGAGTGTTTTATGTATGTTTTTTTGAATTAAGACATTAATAATTCAGGGTTTGGGATATTTGCTGTTTGGAGGGACGTCTCAAATGAATATACAGGGGAACCTGAGTTTTTGTTTGCCCTAGTCTATGTAAAACTATAGTTATTCTCTTTAAAATGTATTTTTTGTTGGAGTGTGAGCAGGGTAATATTTAGTGAAGGGATTCAGGGAAACCGGTTATTTTCATATAGTCGGACTTGAGTCCTGGAAATGGGAAGTACAATGCCTGCACTTTAAAGGAGGGGTTTGGGATATTGGCAGTTTGGAGGGATATGTTGTGTATCTTTATATGTGTATGCTTCTAGACTGTTGTATTCTGAGCACCTCTGCAAAAACAGTGATAATGTGTGAGTGTGGTGAAAGTGTTGAATGATGATGAAAGTATTTTCTTTTTGGGGATTTTCTTTCTTTTTTGGGTCACCCTGCCTCGGTGGGAGACGGCCGACTTGTTGAAAAAAAAAAAAAAAAAAAAAATTCCTATAAGAAATAATGTAAATCCAATTTATCCATTCTAGACACCCAAAAATATTAACAAATAACACATTGAGAATAACCGGTTATTTTTATATAGCCGGCCTTGAGTACTGGAAATGGGAGGTACAATGTCTGCACTTTAAAGGAAGAGTTCGAGATAGTGGCAGTTTGGAGAGAGATGTTATATATCTTTGTGTGCTTCTAAACTGTTGTTCTGAGCACCTCTGCAAAGACAGTAATTATGTGTGAGTGTGGTGAAAGTGTTGAATGATGACGAAAGTATTTTCTTTTTCGGTCACCCTGCCTCGGTGGGTCACCCTGCCTCGGTGGGTCACCCTGCCTCGGTGGGTCACCCTGCCTCGGTGGGTCACCCTGCCTCGGTGGGTCACCCTGCCTCGGTGGGTCACCCTGCCCCGGTGGGTCACCCTGCCTCGGTGGGAGATGGCCGACTTGTTGAAAAAAAAAAAACTATAGCTTTACATACAGACTAGGGTATACGAAAACCCAGGTTCCACTGTATACTGTGTTGAATCTGCGTGACTGGCAAGATAGTGATAGTGCGAATGATGGTGAAAGTGTTTCTGTTTTTGAGTTGCCCTGCCTTGGTGGGAGACGGCCAGCAGCGTGTTCAAAAAAATAATCAGTAGTAAGATAGAAATTATAAAAAAAATCCGATGTAGTAGAGGAAATCAACATTTCTAAAATTAATTTTTGGCTTTATTTTTCCATACATGTATCATAACATTTTGCAGAGTGGATTTTTGACCTCTGTGGAAAATACACTGTATCTGTTATATTGAGGGAGAGTATGAGAATGTTTAATGAATGATGTGAGAGAGAATGAGAATGTTTAATGAATGATGTGAGAGAGAATGAGAATGTTTAATGAATGATGTGAGAGAGAATGAGAATGTTTAATGAATGATGTGAGAGAGAATGAGAATGTTTAATGAATGATGTGAGAGAGAATGAGAGAGAATGAGAATGTTTAATGAATGATGTGAGAGAGAATGAGAGAGAATGAGAATGTTTAATGAATGATGTGAGAGAGAATGAGAATGTTTAATGAATGATGTGAGAGAGAATGAGAATGTTTAATGAATGATGTGAGAGAGAATGAGAATGTTTAATGAATGATGTGAGAGAGAATGAGAATGTTTAATGAATGATGTGAGAGAGAATGAGAATGTTTAATGAATGATGAGAGAAAGAATGAGAGAGAATGAGAATGTTTAATGAATGATGTGAGAGAGAATGAGAATGACAGTGTTGAATGGATGATGAGAGCCTTGTGAAAATACATCACCTGGTTGTAAAGTTGGGAAAAATCGCTGTCTTTGCAGAGGCACTTTGGTACGACAGCTTAGACGTCCCTCCAAACGGCCAATATCCCAACACCCTCCTTTAAAGTGCAGGCATTGTACTCCCCACCCCCAGGACTTTTAAGTCTAGCTAAATGGTTTTCCTGATTTCTGTCAAAATATTATCCTGTTCACACTCCAACAGCTCGTCAGGTCCCAAAAACCATTCATCTCCACTCACTCCTATCTAACATGCTTATGCATGTGCCTGCAATATGTCCAAGCCCCATGCATGCAAAACCCTCCTTTACCCTCCATCCTCTTCAGTTTATATTCAAATGCATGGAAATTGGGTTATAATGGCAGTTTCTTCATTTAAAGGTACAAGGGAAAGATCCCAGTGTAGACATAACTCAAGACATCGTCGAGGAGAGCGAGGACGAGAGATTCGACGATGTGTCAGACTCTAACCCCTGGGTCGAGTTACCCCCGTGTGAGATAGGTAGATTGGAAGACATAAATGAGGTGAGAGTTAACCTTGTAGTGTTCCATCCTGGCAGTGAAGATGAGATCTGAATGATGCTCTTAATGTTATAGATCGGACCTTTCTAAAACCTTTTATTTTTTATCTTTTGCTATTTTTTTCTGTGGCTTTCTTTTAGTTCAGTCATTTTATCGTGTAGAGTCCAGACGGTCATTTTTTGGTGTTTTTTTTTTTAATTAGTCTTACTTATGAGCAATTGGGAACTGCCCTCTTATAAGTCTAGAAGTGGCACAGCTTTAACCCCCCCCCCACACAGTTTTATACAACACTTCGTAAAATTAACATGGTTCCGTTTGCAGGCACCAGAAAAACTGTCCCCAACTCAAGCTGCTGCCTTGTTGTCGGTCAGCAGGGGAGACCCACCATCCCCTGCCACCCCCAACACTCCCGCCATCCCCTGCCACCCCCGACACTCCCAGCACCCTCATCCTTGCCTTCGTGAATGTATATTCAGTTACATTGTCTTAGGAGCTAGCTATGTTTGGAATTGTTTTGATCTTTTAATTACCATATCTTGTATCTACCAAGCAATCATAGAACCCAGTAGGCATACCAGTGTTGCTGAAAGTGGCAAGAAAAGGTATATGTGTTTAAGTCTTAGAATTAACAAAGAAAATAGAAATATTAGACAAGAGATAGCCTATGACCTTAATGAAATGTCGCTTTATACAGTTTACTGACGCGGTATTAGGAACGGAACTTCGTCGTTAAGTGAGGAGAGGCTAAATTTTTTTACTTACAATGGGTTAATCGGAAAGTCACTCCATCATAAGTCGAAGAGAATCTGTATGTTATCAATTTGTACCATCAGGTATTCAGAATTTGTACCATCAAGTATTCAAAATTTGTAGTATCAGGTATTCAGAATTTGTAGCATCAAGTATTCAAAATTTGTAGCATCAGGTATTCAAAATTTGTACCATTAAATATTCAAAATTTGTACCATCAAGAATTCAAAATTAATCAAAACTTGTTTATAATTGCAGGTGATAAGCAATTGTCTACACTCTCCTGTAAGGCGAGAAAAATTAGCAATAGCCCTAGAAAACGAGGGCTACGTTAAGAAGCTAGTGTCAGTGTTCCACACCTGCGAGGACCTGGAGAACATGGAGGGTCTCCATCTTCTCTATGAAATCTTCAAGAACATCTTTCTGCTCAACAAAAATGCCCTTTTCGAAATTATGTTTGCAGATGATACCATATTTGACATCGTCGGGTGCTTGGAGTACGACCCATCCTCGCCGTACCCAAAGAGACATCGACAGTACCTTAAAAGTATAGCTAAGTTTAAGGAGGTATGTCCATAATTTATGTAGTAAATATAGGCTGGACCTGCTTGTGCAGCAGGTTAAGTTCCCGGCTATCTCTGTGAAATGAAACAGTCTTTTTTCACTTTCAAGTGTATATAAAAGCTTGATAACATATTTACACTATCATATATTAAGTGAGAAGTAGAGCTAGGCCTAAAAAGTACGTATACAGTACACATATTATCGTTATTATTAACACTTCGGCCAATTCCCACCAAGGCAGGGTGGCCCGAAAAACAAAAACTTTCACCATCATTCACTCCATCACTGTCTTGCCAGAAGGGTGCTTTACACTACAGTTTTTAAACTGCAACATTAACACCCCTCCTTCAGAGTGCAGACACTGTACTTCCCATCTCCAGGACTCAAGTCCGGCCTGCTGGTTTCCCTGAATCTCTTCATAAATGTTACCTTCCTCACACTCCAAGTATTAAAAACCATTTGTCTCCACACTCCTATCAAATACGCTCATGCATGCCTGCTGGAAGTCCAAGCCCCTCGCACACAAAACCTTTACCCCCTCCCTCCAACCTATCCTAGGCAGACCCTTACCCCACCTTCCTTCCACCACCGATTTATACACTCTTGAAGTCATTCTGTTTCCTTCTATTCTCTCTACATGTCCGAACCACCTCAACAACCCTTCCTCAGCCCTCTGGACAACAGTTTTGGTAATCCCGCACCTCCTCCTAACTTCCAAACTACGAATTCTCTGCATTATATTCACACCACACATTGCCCTCAGACATGACATCTCCACTGCCTCCAGCCTTCTCCTCGCTGCAACATTCATCACCCATGCTTCACACCCATATAAGAGCGTTGGTAAAACTATGCTCTCATACATTCCCCTCTTTGCCTCCAAGGACAAAGTTCTTTGTCTCCACAGACTCCTAAGTGCACCGCACACCCTTTTTCCCTCGTCAATTCTATGATTCACCTCATCTTTCATAGACCCATCCGCTGACACGTCCACTCCCAAATATCTGAATACATTCTTAGCTTATAGTGAGTGGTGAATATATTGTTGGAAGTTTGAATAAATAAAGAATGGATATAATTGAAAACCGCTGCATTAGCAAAATGCCATAAAGCAAATCGCTGTAAAGCGGAGCCCACCTATATATACACCTGCCATCTGATTTACGACCACTTGACTTATGACCGTGTTTTTTATGCCAGATTTCTGGGAAATAAACAAGTGTTTGTGTTGTACACAGTGTTTATCCTAAACCTTACAGTATAAAACACAGAACTAACAACATAAAAAGTAAAGTAAAACATGAAATACCAAAATAAAACAATAAAATAAAGTCATTACAAAAATGTTTTGTTGATATTCAGTAGTAAAGTTCGACTTACGACCATTTCGACTTACGACCGGTTTCTCGGAACCGAACTCGGTCGTAAGTCGGATGGTAGGTGTACATTTCTAACTCGTATAGTGGGAAGTTTTTTTAAACTGGTTTCGAGTATTGTTATATTTTAAATCAATTGTGTTTCCAGGTAATCCCCATAGAAAACAGTGAGCTTCTAAGTAAGATTCATCAAACGTATCGTGTACAGTACATCCAGGACGTGGTCTTACCCACCCCAGCGGTGTTCGAGGAGAACATGTTGTCTACACTCTCATCCTTTATCTTCTTCAACAAAGTGGAGATTGTTTCTCTCATACAGGTAAGTCTAGTGTATCAAGGTAGTTGTTGTGTACAGGTAAGTTCAGTGTTTCAGGGTGGAGTTTGTGTACAGGTAAGTCTAGTGTATCAGGGTGGTTGTCGTGTGTAAGTAAGTCTAGTACGTATAACAGGGTGGTTATCGTGTGCAGGCAAGTCTAGTGTATCAGGGTGGTTGTCGTGTGCAAGTAAGACTATTACATCAAAATGCTCACCTTTGTGAGAAGGAACTTAATGGGGTCCCTGAAGCCATTCCTGATCAGGACTGTAATTAACCATTTATAGCTAAGAAAGTAATGCTTTGCCCATGGTGTCCTGTACCCATTATGTTAATTTTATTTTTTCTTGGCGAACCGGCTGTATCCCACCAAGGCAAGGTGGCCCAAAAAGAAAAACGAAAGTTTGTCTCTTTAAATTTAGTAATATATACAGGAGAAGAGGTTACTAGCACCTTGGTTCCAGCATTTTAGTTGCCTCTCACGACATGCATGGCTTATGGAGGAAGAATTCTGTTTTACTTCCCCATAAAGATAAGAGGAAATAAAAAAGAAAATAGAAGAAAACTCAGAGGGGTGTGTATATATATATATATATTTTTTTTTTTCAACAAACCGGCCGTATCCCACCGAGGCGGGGTGGCCCAAGAAAAGCAAAAGTTTCTCTTTTAAATTTAGTAATTTATATGGGAGAAAGGGTTACTAGCCCCTTGCTCCTGGCATTTTAGTCGCCTCTTACAACACGTATGGCTTACGGAGGAAGAATTCTGTTCCACTTCCCCATGGAGATAAGAGGAAATAAACAAGAACAAGAACTAGTAAGAAAATAGAAGAAAGCCCAGAGGGGTGTGTATATATATGCTTGTACATGTATGTGTAGTGTGACCTAAGTGTAAGTAGAAGTAGCAAGATGTACCTGAAAGCTTGCATGTTTTTTCTTTCTTTCAACACACCGGCCGTATCCCACTGAGGCGGGGTGGCCAAAAAAGGAAACGAAAGTTTCTCCTTTTACATTTAGTAATATATACAGGAGAAGAGGTTACTAGCCCCTTGCTCCCGGCATTTTAGTCGCTTCTTACAACACGCATGGCTTACGGAGGAAGAATTCTGTTCCACTTCCCCATGGAGGTAAGAGGAAATAAACAAGGACAAGAACTAGAAAGAAAACCCAGAGAGGTGTGTATGGATATGCTTGTACATGTATGTGTAGTGTGACCTAAGTGTAAGTAGAAGTAGCAAGACGTTCCTGAAATCTTGCATGTTATGAGACAAAAATGGACACTAGCAATCCTTTCTTCTTTCTTTCAACACACCGGCCGTATCCCACCAAGGCGGGGTGGCCCAAAAGGAAAAACGAAAGTTTCTCCTTTTACATTTAGTAATATATACAGGAGAAGAGGTTACTAGCCCCTTGCTCCCGGCATTTTAGTCGCCTCTTACAACACGCATGGCTTACGGAGGAAGAATTCTGTTCCACTTCCCCATGGAGATAAGAGGAAATAAACAAGAATAAGAACTAGAAAGAAAATAGAAGAAAACCCAGAGGGGTGTGTATATATGTGCTTGTACATGTATGTGTAGTGTGACCTAAGTGTAAGTAGAAGTAGCAAGACGTACCTGAAATCTTGCATGTTCATGAGACAGAAAAAAGGACACCAGCAATCCTATCATCATGTAAAACAATTACAGGCTTTCGTTTTACACTCACTTGGAAGGACAGCAGTACCTCACTGGGTGGTTGCTGTCTACCAATTTGCTACCACAGGCAGTAGTACCTCCCTCTTTAGTTTCTCTCCTTTCTCCAGTAATCATTTCTGGGTCTTCGTTTCCTTGTTTTCCCTTATTTTTCATTTATGGCAGTGGGTTTGATGTGCAGTTTTTGTGCTCTTTGCTTCCTGAGTTTTTGCTTACTTTCAGTAATGATTTGAGGAATGTCGACAGGCCTAGTGAAACGTGATTTAAAAAATAAAATGCCTATTGATTTTGTCTAGTGTGTTTGAAATTTTTTTTTTTTTTTTCAATTTTTTTTTTACATTCTGGCCGTCTCCCACCGAGGCAGAGCGACCTGAAGAGAAATAGGAAAGCTTTTCTTTTTTACATTTAGTAATTTATACAGGTGGTGTTACTAGCACCTTATTATCAGCGCTTTAGTCGCCTCTTATGACACGCATGGCTGTTTTTTAAGTTCTCATATATAGCCATGAGAGTGTTGCTCAGACATCTCATTTGTGTTGCAGGAAGACCAGTTTTGAAGTTGTTCTCACTATGTAGCTATGATAATCTTGCTTAGACAACTCTTTACTTTTTTGTGTTGCAGGAAGATGAAAGATTTTTGAGCGAGTTGTTTCACCAGTTGGGTGGTGACGAGGACGTACCAACGGAAAAGCGGCGAGATCTCGTCCTGTTTCTCAAAGAGTTCTGTACTTTTTCACAAACCCTCCAGCCTACCAGCAGAGAAGCGTTCTTTAAAGTGAGTATGTGACTGATGTGTGAGGTGCTCCTGGGGAGGTGTGAGGGGTGAGGAGGTGGGTGAATACAGCCTCTACTCACTTAGCGATGTACTTGTATACTGACGACTTGGACTTACGACGGGCTCTCTGACTAGTATGCATACCTAAATAATGTATATTAGAACTGATTTCCTCTATTCTGTTTATTACAATATACAGTTACACTACTGTATAAACAGTTAAAAATATACCAGAAATTTTATAAATGGTGCAAAGGTGACATTAAAACAATATAAAAAATGGTTGACACAAACCCACTACCATTAGTATGCTTCTCACTTAGCGAAGAATTTGTTTACCAACGTGGTCTTAGGAACGGAACTCTGTCATCAAGTGAGGAGAGGCTATACTGTCACCCCTCCTCAGTCAGTAAGATGAGAAATTAGACACATGTGCAACACCTGGGTATCTTTATTTGAAGTTTTTTCTCAACAAGTGGCTTTATCAACTCAGTACATAGGTTAATTGAAGGAGATGAATGAAACTGGTGACAGTGGGTGAGGTAATCAGTCCCTAAACCTTGCAGAACAGTAGACAGAAGACGGAGGATTAGGTAATCAGTCCCTCAATCTTGCAGAACTATACACAGAAGACGGTGTAGGATTAGGTAATCAGTCCCTCAGCCTGGAAGACAGTGCTTAGTATCATAGTCACTAAGATAGTAACTTCATCAATGCTGGAATGAGAATATCAAGAGGCACGTAAGTTCCCCCCGTCTTCTAATAACATGCTCATTTTACCACTATAATCTACCTTGTACAGTGGAACCTCAAATATCGAACTTTCTTCGGTCCAGAAGGCTGTTCGAGTGCCACTACCGAACGAATTTATTTCCATCAGGAATAATGTAAATTAGATTAGTCCATTTAAGACCCTGAAAAATACACTTATAAAAGCACTTACAAAAATACACTTACGTAATTGGTTGAGTTGGGAGCAGTTTGATTTTTGAGGTTCCACTGTACATAATACCACATTCGCATTGTTTCATAAGGTGAAGTCCAGGATCTTTCCTTAATTCATGGTATAACTTAATAAATCTGTGATGACAATTGTGTTGGAGAGGTCTGAGCAAAGCCCAGACCTCTCCAACACAATTGTCCTCAAAGATTTGTTAAGTTGTACAGTACTGTGAATTAAGGAAAGAAACTAGACTTTACCTTACAAAACAGACAAAACAAATGTGATGGGAATTATAGACAAAGTAGATTTTAGTGGTAAAACGAATATGCTGTCAGAAGATGGGGGAACTTATGTGCCTCTTAAAGTTCCCATACCTAATGATATCCTCAGTGCCCTACCGGAGTTTCCCAACTTTTTTTTTTCAACAAGTCGGCCGTCTCCCACTGAGGCAGGGTGACCCACCGAGGCAGGGTGACCCAAAAAAGAAAGAAAATCCCCCAAAAAGAAAATACTTTCATCATCATTCAACACTTTCACCACACTCACACATTATCACTGTTTTTGCAGAGGTGCTCAGAATACAACAGTTTAGTAGCATATACATATAAAGATACATAACATATCCTTCCAAACTTGGGCTGACAAATTTCAACACCTTGTATGATCCCTGTCCCTTGGGATGGAATATGACAGTGAAACATAACTAGCTTTTTCTCACTTGTTGACAACAAATTAAATACAGTGGACCCCCAGTTTACGATCAGCTCCCAATGCGACCAATTATGTAAGTGTATTTATGTAAGTGCGTTTGTATGTGTATGTTTGGGGGTCTGAAATGGACTAATCAAATTCACAATATTCCTTATGGGAACAAATTCGGTCAGTAATGGCACCTGAACATACTTCTGGAATGAAATAATATCGTAAACCGGGGGTCCACTGTACTTCATTACCAAATATGTTTTTTATGTAAATTATATAACATTTGTAATAATAATTATTCCTATCAGTACATGGTACAACTTTTACAGACCATAGCTGACAACTATATAGAAAGTCCCTGGTTATGCAAAGCATTTCAGGCAACGTAGGTCAATATTCTCCCCCAGGATGGTACCCACAACAGGTGATTAACACCCAAGTACCTTCATGCTGCAGGTGTTTCACCTGTGATGGATTGATCCCTTCATTGTGTCAACTGAGGTTGTGAGCTAAGATACTTAAAATATGATAGAACCTATGCATTGTATCTACAGGAGTGCCTTGCTTATACAGCAGATTGGGTTCCAGACTACTGCTGTAAAGTGAATCATTACGTGCGAGACAGACGGCTCCCTGCTCCCCCCTCTTTTTTTCACTTTCAAATACGTATAGAAGCCTGATAACATACTTACACTATCATATGTTAAGTGAGCAATAGAGCTAGGTCTAAAAAAATGCACATACAGTACACACATTACTTACTTTAAAATATTTTTGTACTTAGCTTATACAGTGGACCCCCGCTTTACGATCAGCTCCCAATGCGACCAATTATGTAAGTGCGTTTGTATGTGTATGTTTGGGGGTCTGAAATGGACTAATCTAATTCACAATATTCCTTATGGGAACACATTCATTCAGTAATGGCACCTGAACATACTTCTGGAATGAAATAATATCGTAAACCGGGGCTCCACTGTAGTGAGTAGTGAATATATTTATTGTAGCAAGTCTGGCAGTTTGGAGGGATATGTTGTGTATCTTTATACGTACTATATGCTTCTAAACTGTTGTGTTCTGAACACCTCTGCAAAAACAGTGATTATGTGTGAGTATGGTGAGTGTTGAATGATGAAAGTATTTTCTTTTTGGGGATTTTCTTTCTTTTTTGGGTCACCCTGCCTTGGTGGGAGACGACCGACTTGCTGAAAAAAAAAAAAAGTCTGCATAAATGAAGAATAGGTATAATTGAAAGCCGCTATTTTAGCAAGAAACTGTATACATATACAAAAAATATTTAAGATAAAAATAACATTTAAGTTTACATCAAATAGAATTTTGGAAGTCATAATTACCATCGTATGGGTGTTTGTGGGAAACAATCAGGCTGCAGCATTAGTGTTAAAAACAGCAGTTATTACCGGGATACCTTCCCTCAAGGAAGGTTCCTTGATGTTGGTGAGGGGCTCTTGATTTAGGAAATTGGATCTGTGCTCCAGTTCCCTGAATTAAGCCTGAATGCCTTCCACATCCCCCCCCCCCCAGGCGCTGTATAATCCTCCGGGTTTAGCGCTTCCCCCTTGATTATAATAATAATACCGGGATACCTCAGGGATATGTTTAAAAGACAATATTCAAAATAAAGTTGCTAGTAATGGCAAATCAATTGATCAACAAACAAAGAGAGATAGCAGAGGGCAACGAGTGACTAGCTCCCTTAAGGTTTACTACACAAATAGTAGGAGTCTAAGAAATAAGATAGATGTGCTAAGATTACTTGCAAGTGTAGGTAATATAGATATTATTCGTATAACAGAGACCTGGTTCAGCCTGAAAGATAGAGAAATGCCTTCTGAATGCAACATACAGGGTTATAAACTATTCCACACTGACAGGGTCAACAGGAAGGGTGGTGGAGTGGCGATGTATGTCAGAGAAAATTTAAATTGTTGTCTTAGACATGATATAAGATTAGAAACATAGAACACAGAATCTGTTTGGCTACAGTTTCTCGAGGGACGTGACAAATTAATTTTGGGTGTGATTTATAGGCCCCCAAACCTTGATAGGGAGTGCAGTAAGCTGTTATGGGATGAAATTCATAAGGCATCTAGATACGAAAATGTTGTGATAATGGGAGATTTTAACTTTAGACAAATTGATTGGAACAATTTGACAGGAAATCTTGAGTCTAGTGACTTTCTTGGTACGGTTCAGGATTGCTTTTTAGAACAAGTTGTGTCAGAACCAACTAGAGGAAACAATCTGCATGACTTGGTTCTTGCCAACAAAGATTCACTAATTAATAATCTTGAGGTTAATGATGAGCTTGGGGAAAGTGATCACAAATCACTTAGTTACAATATATCATGGAATTACTCAGATAACTGCAATCAAATCTGTCCCAGATTTTCGCTTGGCCGACTTCATGGGACTGAAAAATTACCTGGGTGGGCTAAATTGGGATGTCCTGACTATGGGTCAGGTAGGTGATCTTGGTTGCCAATATGACGTTTTTCAGAGCATAGTTCTAGCTGCTCAGACAACTTTTGTTCCGAGTAGGGAAATTAGATCTAACAAAAATGATCCCAAATGGATGAACAATAGATTAAAACATCTCATTGGTCAAAAGAGAGGCATATATAGGCATATCAAAAGAGGGGATGGGCAGTTAAGAAATCAATACATGTATATTCAATTAAAGAGAGAAATAAAGAAAGGAATAAGAAAAGCAAAAAGGGATTATGAGGCTAAGGTCGCAAAGGATTCAAAGACTAACCCAAAAGGGTTCTTTCAGGTATACAGAAGTAAGATTAGGGACAAGATTGGCCCACTTAAGAGTAACTCTGGTCAGATCACTGACAGTGATAAGAATATGTGTGAAATTCTCAGTATCTACTTCCTCTGTTTTCACCCAGGAAAATACTAGCGATATTCCTGAAATAATAGATTCTGTAGAACAGGATGATGATAAACTATGCACAATTGCGGTAACTAGTAACATGGTCCTCAGACAAATAGAGAAACTAAAACCTAACAAATCCCCAAGTCCTGATGAACTGTTTGCAAGGGTGTTAAAGGAATGTAAAGAGGAACTTAGCATACCTTTGGCTAATCTTTTTAACATATCACCACAAACTGGCATAGTGCCTGATAAGTGGAAAATGGCAAATGTAATACCTATTTACAAGGCAGGTGACAGATCCTTGGCTTCGAACTATAGACCAATAAGTCTTAACCTCCATAGTGGGAAAATTTATGGAATCAATAATTGCTGAAGCAATTCGTAGCCATCTTGATAGGTACAGATTGATTAATGAATCTCAACACGGTTTTACAAAGGGGCGTTCCTGTCTTAGGAATTTACTAACTTTTTTCACTAAGGTGTTTGAGGAGGTAGATCATGGTAATGAATATGATATTGTGTATGTGGACTTCAGTAAGGCTTTTGGTAGAGTTCCACACCAGAGGCTATTGAGGAAACTTAAGGCACACGGAATAGGAGGAGAAATTTTTTTTCCTGGGTAGAGGCATGGCTGACAAATAGGCAGCAGAGAGTTTGCATAAATGGGGAGAAATCAGAATGGGGCATGTCACAAGCGGTGTTCCTCAGGGGTCAGTGTTGGGCCCTTTGTTGTTCACAATTTACATAAACGACATAGATGAGGGAATAAATAGCGACATCAGCAAATTTGCTGATGACACCAAAATAGGCCGTCCAATTCATTCTAATGAGGACACTAGAGCACTCCAGGATGATTTGAATAGACTGATGCAGTGGTCAGAGAAGTGGCAGATGCAGTTTAATATTGACAAATGCAAAGTTCTAAATATTGGACAGGTAAATAACCATGCCACATATAAACTAAATAATGTAGATCTTAATATTACTGATTGCAAAAAGGATTTAGGAGTTCTGGTTAGCAGTAATCTAAAACCAAGACAACAGTGCATTAGTGTTCGCAATAAAGCTAACAGAATTCTTGGCTTCATATCTAGAAGTATAAATAATAGAAGTCCTCAGGTTGTTCTTCAACTCTATATATCCTTTGTTAGGCCTCATTTAGATTATGCTGCTCAGTTCTGGTCACGGTATTACAGAATGGATGTAAATGCTCTGGAAAACATACAGAGGAGGATGACAAAGATGATCCCATGTATCAGAAATCTTCCCTATGAGGATAGATGAGGCCCTGAATCTGCACTATGAGGATAGACTAAGGGCCCTGAATCTGCACTCTCTCGAAAGGCGTAGAATTAGGGGGGATACGATTGAGGTGTATAAATGGAAAACAGGAATAAATAAAGGGGATGTAAATAGCGTGCTGAAAATTTCCAGCCAAGACAGGACTCTCAACAATGGTTTCAAGTTGGAAAAATTCAGATTCAGGAAGGATATAGGAAAGCACTGGTTTGGTAATGGAGTTGTGGATGAGTGGAACAAACTCCCAAGTACAGTTATTGAGGCTAAAACGTTGTGTAGTTTTAAAAATAGGTTAGATAAATACATGAGTGGGTGTGGGTGGGTGTGAATTAGACCTGACTAGCTTGTGGTGCTGGGTCTGGTGCTGTGCTCCTTCCTTGAGTGGAGGTGACCAGACTGGGTAGGTCATTTTGTTAATCCAGGGGGGACATGGACCTGCTCCGCATGGGTCAGTAGGCCTGTTGCCGTGTTCCTTCTTTCTTACGTTCTTATGTAAGGTGAAGTCCAGGATCTTTCCTTAATTCATGGTATAACTTCACAAATCTTTGAGGGCAAACTTGGTCAGTGTATATGAATTACATGTTGAGTTACGTATTATGATTAGGTTTTGTGACCTTATAATGTATGATTGAGTGCATCCATAATGTATTTCATTGCAAGTAATTTAAAAAGTTTAGATGGGGGTATTTGCACTCTTATAATTGTCTGGCACATTAATTAGAAACCGATGATTGATTACCATCAGTCACTACCTGACCTGACCCACATGTAACCCAGTCCTACAAGACCCAGGTGAACTGATGGCACTCTTTACCACTGCCTATCTAGACTCTGTCCAGCCTGGGGGTCTTATCAGCGCTGGAGATCACTCTAGGGCTCGACGATGCTGTCATTAAAGCTGCCTCCATAGACATTCTCAGTTACATCGTGGAGTTCTCCCCGTCCATGGTGCGGGAGTACATGATGCAACAGCAGCATAAAACAGAGGAGGTAAGTACCAGTCACTTGTCCTGTTCTCTTAGAACCACTTGCTACAGTGGTAACTACCAGTCACTCATCCTGTCTTAGAACCACTTGCTACAATGGTAACTACGAGTCACTTACCCTGTTTTCTTGTTTTAGAACCATTGCTACAGTTTGTGTGCAGAAATCTTTTTATTTTTTTTATGCATTGGCAGTGTCCCACAGAGGCAGGGTGACCTAAAAAAAATAATTGAAAGCTTTTCTTTTTACATTTAGTAATTTATACAGGAGACGGGGGTTACTAGCACCTTGCTCCCGGCATTTTAGTCGCCCCTTATGACACGCATGGCTTAATGAGGGAGAATTCTGTTCCATTTCCCCCATGGAGAAAATTTCATTTTGCAGTGTTTATCGCCTTGCATTGTTATTCACCAACTCTACGCGTTAGGGGCTTGATTATCCATTAGAATTTTGTGAGTATGATTGATCAGGGTGAATGAAGGCAAGTGGGTGTTATCATTTGATGCACTGTTGGGGTGTGAGTAAGGAAACCCAGTTAGCCAGACTTAAGTTCTGGAGGTGGGAAGTGTATTGCCTACACTCTTAACCCTTTCAGAGTGGGTCCCGTTGTGCTATGGCTTTGAGGCCCAGGTCTGTCCTATTCTGTGTGATGAGCTCGGCTCTCATATAAACTGTGAGTGGTATAAGAGATTGGGTCTGTGCAGTCGGCGTGCACCATACAAGAAAAATCCTGCGTACATAGCGCATAATGGAGATAATAAAAACTCCGACTGTGATTTTGGTTTAAAACGGCGACTTTGTATATTTCGTATGGTTTTTATAGTTGCATTTTTAGTTTTTTGGTCTCATTTAACAGAAGATTTATTACAGAAATAGAGATGATTTTGATTGGTTTCAGGACTGAAAGTAGCTTGAAACTGAGCTCAAAGTAGCAGAAATGTTCAATTTTTGCCGATATCCAAGAATAAACAAATTACTTCACTCGTCCAATACACGTCAGCTGGTGGGTCAAATACACGTCCACAAATTCTCTGACGTTGTTTATACAATTATTACAATAATGCAGTAGTCTGTATACCAGTAAATTTTCTATTTTATTTTTTTGTGTGTGAATAAAAATTGAAAATAGAAACCAAGCATAATATAGGAGAGGCTTGGAGACATGAACACAGGAAATGCTTTTTAGTGCCAGGAATGTTTACATCGTTTAATCTGAACCCTATTTTGAAATTGGCAGTTTTTGAATTTTGTGTGAAATTGGCTAAATTATCAATTTCTGATCACTTTATTGGGTAGTTGAAATAGGTAAATGGGTGGGTTCTTGTACTCACTTGATAGAACAGAAGGAATACTAGTGAAATAGCTATGAGTTTGGTTGACTGGAACAATGGAATTGGTCCAAAATAGGGTGCAAAGTGGGCGAAATCACTGATGCGTAAATATCGCCAAGACTGCTAACTTTGCAAAGCTTAATCCTGTAAGTTTTCCATCAAATTTCATACCTTTGGTGTCTCTACCTTCGGAAAAAATTCTCTGTCATTTCACAAGAAAACAAAACAAAAAAAACTTTTTTTTGACCCTTAAACGGTCCAAACAGATCTACGTTCAAATTCGTAGCTACAAAAGTAGATCTACTTTTTTTTTTTACATATTTTCAAATATAACAAAAAAAATGCAGATAAAAGTTTTTTATCCACTTTTTCACATGTAAAACAAAAAAGAATATCTACATTTTTTACGTACTTTCAGATGTTGAAAAAACGTATATATACGTTTGGACCATTTAAGGGTTAAATTCTCAGACCCTGAGAGCAAGTTTTAGACCCTGGAAGGATTCAACTAGGATAAGGGTATTGCAGTTTGAAGGGCGATTGTGAACTGTGATGTCAACACATTTCTGGCAAGACAGTGATTGAATAAATTGATGGTGAATGTGTTTCTGCTTTCGTGGGTCACCCTACTTCGATATGAGGCAGCTGATGCGTTAAAGAAAATGTATCTTAAGTGGGGAGGGGAGTGGAACATATTTTGACTTACGGGAGACAGCTGGTGTGTTCATGAAAGCATCTGAAAGTGTTTAATTATATATATATTTTCCCTTGGGTTTAACAGGAACAGTACCTGTTAAACATCATCATTGAACAGATGGTGGTGGACTCGGACCCTGAGATGGGAGGAGCAGTCCAGTTAATGGGCATCCTGAGGATTCTAATAGATCCCGAGAACATGATGGCCACCGTCACCAAGTCTGAGCGAGCGGACTTCCTCGCGTTCTTCTATAAACACTCCATGCACTACCTTGTGGGTAAGTACTTTCCTTGCAACCTAACTCTGTCCACTACCTTGTGTGTAAATACTTTCCTTGTAAACTAACTCAATTCTATGTAAATGGACTGAGTTCCTTGTCCCGTCTACCTCTTGAGACTTGGTAAAGAATTAGGCATTGAAGTACCCATCATACCCACCTCTTACCTCAACACCTCAGTCGTGCGTTGCTTAACAATGGGGATGCATTCTGGGAAATGTGTCATTAGGTGATTGTTTGTTTGTGTGGATGTCGTAGAGTGTATTTACACTATAGATGGTATAGCCTACTACACACCTAAGCTATTTGATATAGCTTAGGAGCCACGATGAACAAAACAACACGAGATTAAATCAAGCATAAGGAAAAATATTGCTGTTAAGAGATGCGTTAAATGTGAGATGTACGAGGCTGCTGCCTCAAACATCTCGTATTTACCGCATCTGTTTACTATACTCTAGAGTATAGTAAGTACATAAAAGAATAGCATAGTTGTTTATTATCAAGTATTACTTAGTGTACATGATGGTATGAGTTATGCTTTTATACTACTGGTATTGCATGTCACGACCATCGTATATGCAGTACCTCGTTGACCAAAACATGGTTAGGCGGTGCACGAATGTTGTTCTTCTTGAACGATGAGGTGGCAGTCCACCAGTAAGCAATAATTAGTGACTCTTGGTTTTATAATTATCAGGCCAGGTGAAAACACTTTTGAAAACTGACAAGTTGAAGAATTCGAGACACTTGTGTAAACATTTGGGAATCTGCAGTAAAGATTCCCAGATGTTGCACAAGTGACTTATTGTTTAATTACCAGGCCAAGCTGGCTGTGATGGGTATGGGAGTCAGTGGGCCAGTAGCAACAACAGTCTAGGTAACCAAGCAAGCAGCAGATGAACCTGACCCAGGGTCAGTCTGTGGCGCAGCAGCAGCAACAACAGTCTAGATAACCAGGCAAGCACCAGGTGAACCTGACCCAGGGTCAATCTGTGGCGCAGCAGCAGCAACAACAGTCTAGGTAACCAGGCAAGCACCAGATGAACCTGACTCAGGGTCAGTCTGTGGCACAGCAGCAGCAACAACAGTCTAGGTAACCAGGCAAGCACCAGATGAGCCTGACCCAGGGTCAGTCTGTGGCACAGCAGCAGCAACAACAGTCTAGGTAACCAGGCAAGCACCAGATGAACCTGACCCAGGGTCAGTCTGTGGCACAGCAGCAGCAACAACAGTCTAGGTAACCAGGCAAGCACCAGATGAGCCTGACCCAGGGTCAGTCTGTGGCACAGCAGCAGCAACAACAGTCTAGGTAACCAGGCAAGCACCAGATGAACCTGACCCAGGGTCAGTCTGTGGCACAGCAGCAGCAACAACAGTCTAGGTAACCAGGCAAGCACCAGATGAGCCTGACACTGGGTCAGGCTACACAGATAGCAAAACTCGGGAAAGTGATCAAGGGTATATATGGGAGGAAGTTCAAAATAAGCCCAGTGAGGAGCAGGGGTGCAGTGGGCACAATACAGGAACACTGTATCAACATCCGGGGCCCCAGACTATTCAACATCTTAACAGAAGATATCAGAAACCTGGGTGGAACAAGTGTAGAAGCTTCAAGAGGAAACTGGACAAGTATCTTAGTGAAGTGCCAGATCAACCAGGCTGTGATAGATATATGGGGCAGCGGACCTCCAGCAGCAACAGCCTGGTTGACCAGGCAAGCACCAGATGAGCATGGCCCATGGCTGTGCTCCAAAGTAATGAGACTCTTGAAACTCATCAACGTGATGACTATACGAATCCTTGAGAAACATTACATGTGTCTTTAACCCTTTGACTGTTTTGGTTGTATATATACGTCTTACGAGCCAGTGTTTCAGACGTATATATACTCAATAATTCTAGCGGGTGTGCAAAAGAAGAAAATTAAAGGTGAATACAGGAAAGAGTAAGGTTATGAGGATAACAAAAAGATTAGGTGATGAAAGATTGAATATCAGATTGGAGGGAGAGAGTATGGAGGAGGTGAACGTATTCAGATATTTGGGAGTGGACGTGTCAGCAGATGGGTCTATGAAAGATGAGGTGAATCATAGAATTGATGAGGGAAAAAGAGTGAGTGGTGCACTTAGGAGTCTGTGGAGACAAAGAACTTTGTCCTTGGAGGCAAAGAGGGGAATGTATGAGAGTATAGTTTTAACCAACGCTCTTATATGGGTGTGAAGCGTGGTGATGAATGTTGCAGCGAGGAGAAGGCTGGAGGCAGTGGAGATGTCATGTCTGAGGGCAATGTGTGGTGTGAATATAATGCAGAGAATTCGTAGTTTGGAAGTTAGGAGGAGGTGCGGGATTACCAAAACTTTGTCCAGAGGGCTGAGGAAGGGTTGTTGAGGTGGTTCGGACATGTAGAGGGGAATGGAGCGAAACAGAATGACTTCAAGAGTGTATCAGTCTGTAGTGGAAGGAAGGCGGGGTAGGGGTCGGCCTAGGAGGGTTGGAGGGAGGGGGTAAAGGAGGTTTTTGTGTGCGAGGGGCTTGGCCCTTCCAGCAGGCATGCGTGAGCGTGTTTGATAGGAGTGAATGGAGACAAATGGTTTTTAATACTTGACGTGCTGTTGGAGTGTGAGCAAAGTAACATTTATGAAGGGATTCAGGGAAACCGGCAGGCCGGACTTGAGTCCTGGAGATGGGAAGTACAGTGCCTGCACTCTGAAGGATGGGTGTTAATGTTGCAGTTTAAAAACTGTAGTGTAAAGCACCCTTCTGGCAAGACAGTGATGGAGTGAATGATGGTGAAAGTTTTTCTTTTTCGGGCCACCCTGCCTTGGTGGGAATCGGCCGGTGTGATAATAAAAAAAAAAAATAATTCTAGCGGCTTCAAATCAAAAGGAAGAAAGCTGGTAGGCCCACATGTGAGAGAATGGGTCTGTGTGGTCAGTGTGCACCACATAAAAAAAATCCTGCAGCACACAGTGCGTAATGAGAAAAAAAAACTGATCGTTTTTTGTGGATTAAAACGCCGACTTTGAGGTGTATTTTCGTATAGTATTTATCGATGTATTTGCGTTTTCATGGTCTTAGGTCATAAAATGGAAAACATATTACAGAAATAGAGATGATTTTCATTACTTTGACGATGAAAACGACCTTGAAACTGAGCTCAAAGTAGCGGAAATGTTCGATTTTTACCAATGTTCAGGAGTAAACAAATCACACCACACGTCCAATACACGTCAACTGGGGAGTCTAATATTCTTTCACTAGTGCACTGATATTATTTATACCATTTTTACAATAATGCAGTAGTCTGCATACCAGTAAATTTTGTATTTTTTTTGTATGAATAAAAAATCAAAATAGAAAGCAATAATAATATAAGAGGGGCCTAGAGATGTGACTAATGAACAAAGGATATGTTATTTTAGTGCCAAGAATGTCTACCTTGTTTATTCTGGACCCTATTTTGAAATTGGCATCTTTTTTAGTTTGCGTGAAATTGGCCAAATTGCCAATTTCTGACCACAATATTGGGTAGTCCAAATTGGTAAATGGGAGGTTTCTTGTACTCAGCTGATAGATAAAATGGAGTTCTAAAGAAATAGCTATGAGTTTGGTCAACTGGAACAACGGAATTGGCTAAAAACAGGGCTCAATGTTGGCGAAATCGCCGATACGCATATGTCGCCGAGACCACTAACTTCGCGGGAGCGTAATTCCATGAGTTTTCGACCAAATTTCGAACTTTTGGTGTCATTACCATCGGGAAAAGATTCTCTATCATTTCATAAGAAAAAATAATTTTTTTTTTTTTTCAAAAATTTAGCGACATAGAATGACACTTTCAGAAAGGTGCCTGAAACAGTCAAAGGGTTAAGAGGTCTCTCCAGTGACTGGCCCATGGGGGTGTTGACCCTTATAACACCCTCCAGGTGGACCCTCCAGAAGGGAACCTGCCTGATGATACTGGAGGACAGGAGAGTTAGGAGAGACATGATAACGACTTACAAAATACAGTGGACCCTCGCATAACGATTACCTCCGAATGCGACCAATTATGTAAGTGTATTTATGTAAGTGCGTTTGTACGTGTATGTTTGGGGGTCTGAAATGGACTAATCTACTTCACAATATTTCTTATGGGAACAAATTCGGTCAGTACTGGCACCTGAACATACTTCTGGAGTGAAAAAATATCGTTAACCGGGGGTCCACTGTACTGCGAGGAATTGACATGGTGGAGAAAGCGAGGATGTTCTAGAGTTGGGACACAAACATGGGGTCACAATTGGAAGCTGAAGAGTCGGATGAGTCAAAGTAAACCCTTCAAGTAGACCCTCCAGGTGGTTCCCCCAGGTAGTCCTCCAGGTGAACATTGATAATTTAAAGGGGAGTGTAATCAGTGTTTACCATTGTATGACAGTAATTGTATATTTAGTGTTGAAGCTTTCTGGCCTAGGGTCCGAACCCGGCCCTTGGCCAGGCTTGTCTGGTGCTAGCCTGATCAACCAGGCTGTTGCTGCTGGCTGCCTTCTATCTTGTCTATGTATTAGTTTAGTGCTTAGTGACCTCAGTGACCTACTCAGTCACCTACTAAGTGACCTACTCAGTCACCTACTAAGTGACCTACTCAGTCACCTACTAAGTGACCTACTCAGTCACCTACTAAGTGACCTACTCAGTCACCTACTAAGTGACCTACTCAGTCACCTACTAAGTGACCTACTCAGTCAAGTTACAATGATGATATCAACTTTCGTACTACTAGTGTAGTTTACACTGTATCCATCACCCTCACTATGCATTATCACCCTCACTATATATTATCACCCTCACTATATATTATCACCCTCACTATACATATCACCCTCTCTACATTATCACTCCCTCTATACATTACACCCTCTCTACATTATCACCCTCACTATACATCTATCACTATACATCACCCTCACTATACATTATCACCCACACTATACATTATCAGCCACACTATACATTAT